TTTTTTTTTTTGGGGGGGGGGGGTGGAGTGGTGTTGTCAATGGTTTTTGGTCATTGAAAACGGGTAAGAATTGGACCAAAAGCATTGTCATGTTAACGATTTTTTGCAGCCTTTAACATTTACCAAACCGAAAAGCTATCATATTGTCCAAAGTCAATGAAGATTACTTCTTAGCCAGCAATACAAACAGTGACATATATAGTTCTTAATATGAAAGATTACATAACCTAAAATCTCTTGCAATAAGTCAAACAAGTGACAAATTAATACCATCAAGCATGATGGTAAAGTAAGTAAACAGACGATAAGGTATTTGCTAAGTATACCAAAGCAAATAACCAAATAAAAGAGTTTTCCCATCTCTCTCCAATGCTTCAGCATCATGACTGTTAGTCACACACAGATATTACTTCATTCCTGCAACAATATCTAAGCCTAAACAAAGTTTCAGTCTAAAAAAACTCAACAAAATTCTCAGCACCATAAAGCAAAGATATCTTTTAATTGAAAGATAGAGAGAAGACGTTTAATTTCTTACATTGTTGCTGCTCTCCGAGATGGATCCTGTCGGTGTATTTGGAATGTACCTAGCCCACTATTGACTACAAGTTAATGTACTATCCCGTAACGCTTTTTTTAAAATGTAACTATATGTTTTAAGTAAAAAAAATTCATTCCATTAATTTGCTTACTATTTTACAAGAAAAACATATATGTGCTATTCAATATAAACATCAATGCGATTAAAGAGAAGGTAAGCCTATAAAATTAAGTCAATGTGATAGATTAGAGCAACAAATTATGTTAATAAATTAGGTCCAAATAACATTATCTAGATCATAAGAACTTACATTTTTTGCTGCTGCACTAAATGCTTCTCTATGTGGTATCTCAGGATTGGCTGCTTTGATGCGTTGTATCTCCTCCCTATCAACATGGAAGAAAATCACAAAAAAAAAAAACTATAATCAACCAACCTTCAATACTTGTCACATGAAATATAAACTATAGTGGGTAACCAGTGTGTGTTACACTCCGTAATGGACGATTTTTTAAAGTATCAAACTCGAGTTGATTTTAATCTTACTTCATGAATCGATTGTAAGCTGATGGGAGTCTGTGTTTCTTCTCAGGTGCTGCAAAAAAACAATTTAGGATTAATCAGAGAAGCACTAATGAAGAAGAGTTGGTTTGACGAAATCAAATGGAGGGGTTTTATGGGTTCTCTACGTTTTACAACGAAGGGTACTTTGGTAGACAGTGGCTCGTTTGATGTTGACGACGACGATGATGAAGACTGAGCCTTCCTGAAATCATTGCAAAAGGCCTGCCATATGGAATAAAACTCTTTTTCATTCCAAACAAAAATTCCATCTACTTGTTCTTCTTTAAATTTGCATGATATAGGACAAAAAAGAAATAGCGAAGAGCTAGAGAGATATGACTATGCAACTTTGATGTCAAGTAAGACTTTCATATTTCTAGCTCTAAAGGAACAACTTGTGACAATGCATTGGCAAAGACTTAAAAGAAGTGAAATAGAAACAATAAATCGTCAACATGAAAAGAAGGGGCTTAGNTCTATGGCAATATCAAGTAAGACTTTCATATTTCTAGCTCTAAAGGAACAACTTGTGACAATGCATTGGCAAAGACTTAAAAGAAGTGAAATAGAAACAATAAATCGTCAACATGAAAAGAAGGGGCTTAGCCAGTTGACCCCCTGACCTCCCAACTAAGAAGTCAGGGAGTCAATTATTGTGAAATCAAACTATTTATCTCGTATATCCCATTTTTTTTTAAGTTTATATTTAAGTTTTTTTTTTTTTGGGGGGGGGGGAGAGGAGAGAGAAGCACAAAGTGAAGGGCACGAAAGTATCTAACATTTTTGCCATTACTCGATACTGTAATTGTTATTCTTCTATCTATACTATGCCAAGAACTGCTATTATATCTATATATTCGAAAACCCTCGATGACAGAATGAAGACTTAACCTGAAGAGTGGTAGGGTGGTCAAGACATTGGCCTTGCAGGGGAGGTCTCGTGCTAAGAAAGGAGAGATTGCTGCAATGGCCGCATTTCACTGTCACGGTGTCCAACAAACGTTTGCATGGAATGCCAACCTTGCAAGGGGAGAGAGAAAGAGAGAGATCATCAGTTCATGTATTCACATAATACATTCTCCTAGTATTATAAGGATGCAACATATCATTAATTCCAGTTGCCAAAAAATGTCCCCAAGTATAAGGATGCAAATTCAACACATCATAAAATTCTTATTAGAATCCGATTTAAGTATCTGTAGCAAAATGATCCATCCGGGGATCCAAAATCCAACTTAGTACTAAGTTTTTTTTTTCAGTAAATAAGATAATTTCAATTAATCAAAAAGACTCATGTATAAAAAAATCATCCCATTTACATTCACCACACAAAGTTCACCAAAAAACAAAAGGGGGTGCAATGGCGATTGATGGTCTTATTATCATGATATGGAGTTCCTTAGTTCTCTCTTTGTGTTTCCTACAAAATGTATGATCAGATGACAAAAAAGAGTGAAAGAAGTGTATTGAAACAGACGAAATAAGTCATGCGACAGTAAATTAGACAATCCTTTTCTTTTGTCAAAATATTCTTTGCTAAAGCTTTATGCAATGTGGAAATAAATCTAATGCCAATGTTTGTTTGACTTTCTTTCTCTTTCTATTACTTACCCTTTGTAGCAAGGATGTATGAATTGATACTTGTTGATAGAGATAGACTAGATTGATGGAGACAGACACACAAAGATAGACATATATATTTATATATATGTAGAGAGAGAGAGAGATGCTGCTGTTTTCACATGTAAGGAACAAGATGCCTGTTTCATCTAGACCGGTTGGGCAAAGAGTGAATAAACTATAAGTTTTTGCAGGTATTTTTACCGCAAGAACAGTGTTGCAGAAGTTGCACCGAACGTAGCAAAGATGTTCTGATGGAGGAGTAGAATCCATTGAAACTCTCTCTTCCAAGTTCATTGAAGAAGAAGAAGCTGAGAAAGACATAGTACTCCGAAGTTTTCTTTGAAGGTGACAAAGTAAAATCTAGGGTTTTCAGAGATATGTAATAGCTGGATGGCGTTGGAGTATAGCATCAAAAAAATTTAGGGATACCACTCTCTTCATATAGTACCACTATACCAGCACGTCTGAGTACCACTGTACCAGCACTTTGTCTTTCTTTTTTTTCGAAATTTTTTTCTTTAAATTACACCTAAAACATGGCCAGTGGTATCTATTGATTTACATATATAGAGACAGATTTATGGAGTTGATTCTCAAATAATAATATTATTCAAACTTCATCGGTTAATTTAATTAGAATTGACAGTGAACCTTATCTAATACTATTCAAAAAACATTATTCTATTGACATCTTGCTAGTTGTTTCAAGTTTCAACTTCTATTTTCTTACAAATATTGATGTTCGAAAAGCAATAAATACAATGTTCTTACATGAGAAGATGTTTGATTTTTAAACGTTGCAGAAGACACGATTCAAATGCGTACCGTCCAGCATAACCCAAGTTACCCCTTATATGTTAATATGATCAGTCAATTGAATATCTCAGTTCCCTTAAGCCTTTTATCTTAATTACTTAGTGGGGGCACATGGCAGACAATCATTAAATGCANCCCAAGTATAAGGATGCAAATTCAACACATCATAAAATTCTTATTAGAATCCGATTTAAGTATCTGTAGCAAAATGATCCATCCGGGGATCCAAAATCCAACTTAGTACTAAGTTTTTTTTTTCAGTAAATAAGATAATTTCAATTAATCAAAAAGACTCATGTATAAAAAAATCATCCCATTTACATTCACCACACAAAGTTCACCAAAAAACAAAAGGGGGTGCAATGGCGATTGATGGTCTTATTATCATGATTTGGAGCTCCTTAGTTCTCTCTTTGTGTTTCCTACAAAATGTATGATCAGATGACAAAAAAGAGTGAAAGAAGTGTATTGAAACAGAAGAAATAAGTCATGCGACAGTAAATTAGACAATCCTTTTCTTTTGTCAAAATATTCTTTGCTAAAGCTTTATGCAATGTGGAAATAAATCTAATGCCAATGTTTGTTTGACTTTCTTTCTCTTTCTATTACTTACCCTTTGTAGCAAGGATGTATGAATTGATACTTGTTGATAGAGATAGACTAGATTGATGGAGACAGACACACAAAGATAGACATATATATTTATATATATGTAGAGAGAGAGAGAGATGCTGCTGTTTTCACATGTAAGGAACAAGATGCCTGTTTCATCTAGACCGGTTGGGCAAAGAGTGAATAAACTATAAGTTTTTGCAGGTATTTTTACCGCAAGAACAGTGTTGCAGAAGTTGCACCGAACGTAGCAAAGATGTTCTGATGGAGGAGTAGAATCCATTGAAACTCTCTCTTCCAAGTTCATTGAAGAAGAAGAAGCTGAGAAAGACATAGTACTCCGAAGTTTTCTTTGAAGGTGACAAAGTAAAATCTAGGGTTTTCAGAGATATGTAATAGCTGGATGGCGTTGGAGTATAGCATCAAAAAAATTTAGGGATACCACTCTCTTCATATAGTACCACTATACCAGCACGTCTGAGTACCACTGTACCAGCACTTTGTCATTCTTTTTTTTTCGAAATTTTTTTCTTTAAATTACACCTAAAACATGGCCAGTGGGTATCTATTGATTTACATATATAGAGACAGATTTATGGAGTTGATTCTCAAATAATAATATTATTCAAACTTCATCGGTTAATTTAATTAGAATTGACAGTGAACCTTATCTAATACTATTCAAAAAACATTATTCTATTGACATCTTGCTAGTTGTTTCAAGTTTCAACTTCTATTTTCTTACAAATATTGATGTTCGAAAAGCAATAAATACAATGTTCTTACATGAGAAGATGTTTGATTTTTAAACGTTGCAGAAGACACGATTCAAATGCGTACCGTCCAGCATAACCCAAGTTACCCCTTATATGTTAATATGATCAGTCAATTGAATATCTCAGTTCCCTTAAGCCTTTTATCTTAATTACTTAGTGGGGGCACATGGCAGACAATCATTAAATGCACCAATACTATGATGAGTTATAGATCATTAATTCTATCAAACTAAACAATCTTTGTAATAAACATCAAGTACTTTAACCATTGAAACTTGGCCTAGACTCAATTAGTGTCTGGTGTAAAGTATGCAATAGTTCTTGCAAAAGCCACAAAATTGCATTAATCTATGGGCACATCCACTTGATAAAGCATGAGAAAGCAATGGTAGAGTTGTTGCTGGTTTGAACACAGATAATAACTTACAATACTCCTCTGAGCTTCTTTTATTTTGGTAAAAAAAAAAAAACCCACACATATTCTTGTAAAACAGTCCACCTTTCCTCCGGAATAAAATCTCAGCTCCGCCAATGCTTGTTTATATTCACAGCAGTTCAAACTGGAAAGCAGTCAACAAGGCTTGTTCGCTTGGTATTATGCATGTCTTTATTCAAAAGTTGCAATGAAACTCAAATCATTATATGGTAGGCAATTGACCTAGTCGTAAGTTAGGTTAGTTGCCTAAATCTACATGGTTGCAGCCATTTTAGTGTATATATCGTACTAAAAGTTACAACTCAATCAAATTAAATTATGAATTAAACAATTCAAATTACAATTTGATGTGGTCAATTTGAGAAACCAAAATGCAGATGAATCAATCCCAACTTCTTAAGGATAGATTTGAAGTTTTTTTTAACTATAGCTTAATCTCATCTGAATCATACTTTTTCAATATGGTAATGTAGATTTTCACTGGATAAGTATGATTTGAATGAAAACCGAGTAAAACTACTAAGGCACCTGAACTTGAAATCATATATACAAATTGATTCACCAAATCCGAAACTAATGATTTCGTTGGACAAAAGCAACTAGTTACCTTAGCTTGAAGATGGGTCCAGTAGTGTACTTAGAGAACTTGAATGAATGGACAAACAAAAAGATAGTGTGGATTTCCTATTGCACTTTTTAGTTATGGCATCAAAAGTTATGTCTCAATCAAATCAAATTACAGGTTCCAATAGATTAATTTATAACTCAATATCTTCGAGTTCGAATCAATCCAAAAAATCTTCAGATAATTTCCAATTTGTTTGGAATTCATTAAATCTTAACTTTATTCTAATTGATTTGTAATTTAGGGTCCACCTTTGGTAGCAAAAAGTACCATATCTCATTTTTCACCCAATAAACATGTGACATGTGTATAAAGTCATATTATATTTCACTTTATTATTTTTCACAATTACTTCCTATAAATAAATCCACTCNCGAACATCTTGGTCATAGTGAGAGTCAAGCGCTTTTGATACTTGCCGAACACATTGATCAGCTCGGTTTGGTAAAATTCGAGCTCTTTCATTGCTTTGTCGAACCATATTGGTTAGTTCGGCTAGGACCATTTGACCGAGTAGCTGATATCCTCGTCACGTGTCTTGTCTTGTCGACCTCACGTGGGCTCATTTAATGCCACAATATGTGTAATCATGGGAGCAACCCCCTTCATTTGCCCCCAAAAAACGTCTGACAGACGCCTTTTCGTCTGTCATCAATTTTATATCTCCTCATCATCATTGCATGTGCTTAGTGACATCCCCCTTTGTTTTGGCAGCTTACTCTGTATTTAAATATTGCCTTTTAGCATTCTCTTTCTTTATAATTGATTCTTCTTTGCTTTTCTATCACTTTGTCTTCTCAGTTTCAGATTCATCTCTTTCTTCGTATCTGCACCACCTTTTTTCTTTCTGCGCTTATCTTCCTCAATGGCTCCTCTCACACCCACTGAGATTTCTGCTTTCAAAGCTAAGTACAAAATTCCAGACGACGTTGAGGTAAAGGTCGCTGGCAAAGACAAACCTCTGATTGGATCGAGAGAGAGGATTTCAATCTACACTCGAGCGATCACCGACAGTGGTGTCCACTTCCCTCTTGACCCATTACTCCTCTGGGTCCTGTCAGCCATGAAGCTATGCCCAATCCAATGTTGTCCCAATTTCTTCAGAATAGTGATGGGCGTAGCATCTTTAAAC